AGGGATCTAGGTTGCCCACACCTTATGTGAATCTAATGCTTGAGGATCTGAGGTGCAGTGATGCTAGTGCTGGGACCATCTACTTGCAGGAAAACAAGTTCAGGGCTCCCACTGATTCTGCATTATGGTGAGTTGCATAATTATTTCATTATATATTACATCGTAATAATAATAGAAATAAAGAGCATGGTAAATATAATGTATTTGATTCATTCCAACCCCCTTCATCCCCCCACCCCCACCGGATCCATGGAAAAATTATCTTTCATGAATGCAGTGTCTGGTGCCAAAAAGGTTGGGGACCACTGATATAGCCTATAAAACCTTAACTATCTATTATCTGGCCTTTAACAAAAAGTTTGCCGACCTCCACTTAAAATGATAAACCTAAAGTTCATATTTTCCTATATTAAAAATTAATTTTATTAAGAAAGGCTTAGTAAAAGTCTCTTTAATAAAGATCTTTATGGGAACTATGATTAGAACAAATAAAATGCCAGTTCTAATTAAGTGTTATGTATAGAGAATATCCCTTTGTAGACTTTTTTGGTATGTGTGTGGAGACAGAGTCTCACTCAGTTGCACTGGGGTGGCATCATAGCTCACAGCAACCTCAAACTCTTAGGCTCAAGTAATCCTCTTGCCTCCTGAGTAGCTGTGACTACAGGTGCACACTGCTACACCTGGCTATTTTTATTTTTTATTTTAATGTTTTTTAGAGATGGGATCTTGATCTTGCTTAGACTGGTCTCCAACCCCTGAGTTCAGACTCTTCACCCGCCTCGGCCTCCCAGGGTGCTCGGATTAGAAGAGTGAGCCACTATGCCTGGCTTCCTTTGTAGACTTTTTAAAAAAAACTTATGGAAAGATGATAGCCAAGAGTCAGAGTTAATGGGGACTTCATACTAGTTGTTTTGACTCAGTCAGGATATTTATTAAAGTTGTTTAAGAAAGAAAAATAAAGTGGCTGAGCCAATGAGAGACATTCCTTCTCCTTTACTTGTGTCTTAGAAAGGAAAATTAAGCCAATGAGAGATTGCCAGAAGGAGCAGTGAGAGTTCTGCTCTGATAGGGGTAGAGTTGTTTGTTTTTTTTTTGTTTTTTGTTTTTTGTTTTTTCCAGACAGCCTCAAGCTGTCGCTCTGGGTAGAGTGCTGTATCGTCACAGCTCACAGCAACCTCCAACTCTTGGGCTCAAGTGATTCTTCTGCTTCTGCCTCCCAAGTAGCTGGGACTACAGGCGCCTGCCATAACATCTGGCTATTTTTTGGTTGCAACCATCCTTGTTGTTTGGCGGGCCTGGGCTGGATTTGAACCCGCCAGCTCAGGTGTATGTGGCTGGTGTCTTAGCCACTTGAGCCATAGGCACTGAGCCAAGGGTAGAGTTTTAGGGTGGGCATGGTGGAAAACTGCAGAAGATTTGAGTTCTGTTTGCTGATTGGGCCTATTGCATTGGTATTGGATCCATCCAGTTAGTATGAAGACTGAAGGTCTGACCTAGCTTCTCTGGCTTTCCTATGTATAGGAAATTAAGGTATCCAAAAAGCTGAGTCATAGTCCAGAAGGAAATGCTGGTGTCTGGGCAACCATAAAGCAAATTTTTTCTCAAGAGTAAATGTGAGATTGGGTAGGAATGGCTCTTAGTGCCTGGGGACCTGAGTCGCGGAGTTGTAGAAGAAAAGTGCCTGGGTAAACCACTTGTCCTCATGTTCACCAATACAATAAATGGGCTGATCTTTCCTTATTGAGGGCTGTGATTTGTTTGAACCCTCAGGAGGGTTAACCCATAAATAGCCTTATCAAAATTTTCATGATCTGGCTCGGCGCCTGTGGCTCAAGCGGCTAAGGCGCCAGCCACATACACCTAAGGTGGCGGGTTTGAATCCCCAGCCCGGGCCCACCAAAGAACAATGATGGCTGCAACCAAAGAATGGCCAGGTGTTGTGGCGGGCGCCTGTAGTCCCAGCTACTTGGGAGGCTGAGGCAGGAGACTCGCTTGAGCCCAGGAGTTGGAGGTTGCTGTGAGCGTGATGCCATGGCACTCTACCCAGGGGTATAGCTTGAGGCTCCGTCTCAAAAAAAAAAAAAAAATTTTTCGTGATCTGCAGTTTGCTAGATGGCAGGTATAGTTGCTGTCAATCATGTTCATATATGTGTTCTTTGGGTTGGAGATAACTTAGATTCAAATCCTGGATAATGACTAAATTTACTTTGGGGAAATAAAGAACAGAGAAAAACTTTACCTGTTTCCTAAGAAGGACCTTAGAAGACAATGCATAAAAATAAAGTAGTTTATACCTGTGTAACTAGACAATTCTAGTTTACTGCTTTTATCAGTATCATCCCATCTCTGCAATAGCTCAAAGAACTTTTCTAGTGGTTGAACAGCAATCATGGATTTGATTATGTTTGCCCATAATTATAAGAATCCTGAGCTGGGTGTGGTATTGTAGGAGGAGTCCATAATGGCATTAGTTTAGGAGTTTGAGACTAGCCCGGGCAACATGGGCGAGACCCTGGATTAAAAATAACAACAAGCAAACAAACACTGCCCCCACCTCAAATTCCCAAGCATTCTTATAGAGGACAAACATAGAACTCCAAACTATCCTAGAAAATTCTACCAACATGGACAGTTTTCATGGCAGTCCTCTAGTCCTATACCATTTTACTTTGGTTTAGTTTTGGTACACCAGTAATGCATGAGGATATTCTCATCCCAGTAGCAACAACCAACGACAAAATGCAAAGAGAATAAAAGGCTGTCTTGACTGATCCCTTGGCTGTATCTTTTCCCTCATCATAGTTTTCTTTTCTTTCTTTTTCTTTTTTTTTTATAGAGGCAGAGTTTCACTTTATCACCCACAGTAGAGTGCCATGGCATCACAGCTCACTCACAGCAACCTCCAACTCCTGGGTTTAGGTGATTCTCTTGCCTCAGCCTCCCAAGTAGCTGGGACTACAGGCGTCCACCACAATGCCCGGCTACTGATCATAGTTTTCTGTCTCTGTGCATAAAGCACTGTTGTCAGATTTTTCTTCACAATTTGTATACTGTGTTTTTTTGAAATCTAAGCATTTAAATTTAAGGCAAGATGGCAGTGAAGATAAGCTCTTCACCATCTCCCACGATACACATTTCCTTTAAGCCTGGAAACCAAATAGGAGGTAAAACAATTAGCTGGGAATGGTGGCATGTGCCTGTAGTCCTAACTACTGGAGAGGCTGAGGCGGGAAGATCGCCTGATCTCCAGATGCCAAGGTTGCAGTGAGCTATGATTGCAGCATTGTACTCTAGACTCTGTCTCTTAAAAAAAAAATTATGAAATTATGAAACCTTTTTTAGTATTAAAATCTCTATTGTTGGCTCGGCGCCTATAGCTCAGCCGGCTAAGGCGCCAGCCACGTACACCTAAGG